CCTCCTCTTCCACATGCATTCCCAGCCACGTACTCCAGCCTTTGCTGCCAGCTCCAGTCTCATCTCTGACCCAGGCTAGACCACATGCAGCTCCAGGCCTGCTCTGGCCCCTGCCTGGATCTGCCTAGATTGCTTCTTCCTTCTCCTGCCTGGCTCACTCACTCTTACCCTCCTGGAGTCCCCGACGTTGGGTCCAGGCTCTGCAATATTCCCAGCCCTGATTGCACTTCAGAGCTGTGGGCTAATGCGTTTCTCGTGCCCCACTAGGTTGTGGATCCCTGAGGGCAGGGAAGGGTCATGGGGCCTGGACATAAAGGCAGCTCAGGAAAGCTCCTGATTATCTCTGTCACCTAAGCGACATTGGCATCCATGTCCACACAATAGTGTTAATTATTATTAAATTAATAAATTTTAATTAAATTAATGTATACATTGTTAAATTTTGACTATGCCCCTTACGAGGAGGGTACTGTTATAAGCCCTGCTTCCTGGTTTAACAAACGAGAAAGAGAGGCATGACGATGTTAAGTGACTTACCCAAGGTCTCACCACTGGTAAGTGGCAGAGCTGGCCTCCAAATCCCCTGAGTTTAAAACCCTTCAGCACTGAGGCCCCAGCAGCTGCACAATGCTGGCTGGCTCAGCAGAGGGCCCTGTCAGGGACGGCGACAGGCTCTATCTCAGCCCCACTCTGTGTTCTGACGCTTTTTAAAACAACTGTCTTCCCAAGACTTGCTAAGTGCCCGAGCAACTGAAAGACCAAGAGATGAATCAAGTGGCAACTCTAAGAAATGCCAAACCACGATTCAGATGAGCACCTCGACTATGCTGCAGGCACTCCCTCTGGTTCCTCTGTGCCACTGTCCCACCAGGGCTAGAATCTTACCCACAGAGCAAGAAGTCAAAATCAATGACTAAAATGATCTTCTTCTGCTCCAGATCCTTCACTGCTCCCACTGCTGCTGAATTAATTCCAGACTAGCACCTGGAATCCAGGCTCTGCACAGACTGGCTGGCCTTGGCAGTTGTATCCACCTCTCCCTGATACACCCAGACTGTTCTCTCATTGCCTGGTTGCACCATCCCTTCATCTCATAACTGCTGTCCAAACTCTCACCCACCTCTCAGGGCCCACCCCAAAGCCCTCTCTCTTAGGGAGCTCCCTGACCACTCAGTTCTTGACCACAGAGCCCCTGGCTGTACCTTTTCTGGAACATACAGCAACAAAGCATCTCGCACACAAGCTACCTACTGGTTAAACCCTACAGGCAGAAGGAGGGCGGGAACTCACTGAATTGCCCTGCAGTCAGCCTGCAGGGGCACGTGCAGAATGGGTAAGAAGGGCAGGGTGGGTCTGGAGGGGCAGATGGAGGACAACTGGCAAACCGTGGAAAGAATCTT